GATAGAACTTCAAGTAGAGGAAAGTGATTGGAGTAAAAGAAAAAAAAATCTGGACTTCTGCTAAAAAACTGCTCAGAACAATTTTTCCTTGAGATTACTAAGTAAAATCAAAAGATGGGATAAGTTTTAACTCTTTCACTGCCATGTTTATATATTATGAAATAATTCCTAATGCCAGATTTGTTTATAGGTACACAATAAAAAAAAAAAGATGTATTTTGATGTTTTCTTATCTATATAAAACTTGAAACTGGTAAACTTTGGGATTGAAGGAGAATTACCCTTTGTTCACGGTGATACATAAATCCAAGCTCGTATGTGATTAATATTCCACTTTTCAAGACTAAAACAAAGATTATATATTTTATCCCATATATATGTACAGATTGGCAGTGGAAGAGTTAAATCAAATTTAGAATATCCATGCATGAGCCAATCGAAACCATAAACAAGAATTACACTGCCTGTTTGACTTTTACTTTTCAGTGGTGGTTCAGTACAAAGTACAGAATATGTGTTCGTATTTGTCTGACCAGAGTTTTCATCTAGACCCCCCAGAAAGTAAAGCTGCATGATGGTTTTTCTATATAGTTAAAAATGTGGCCCGGCATGGCCAGGTGGTTTGAGAGCTCGACTTGCACTCTGCAGGTCACAGGTTCGAATCCCCCATCCCACCAAACATGCTTGCCCTTTCAGCTGTGGGGGCATTATAATGTGATGGTCAATCCCACTATTCGTTGATAAAAGAGTAGCCCAAGAGTTGGCAGTGGGTGGTGATGACTAGCTGCCTTCCCTCTAGTCTTACACTGCTAAATTAGGGACGGCTAGTGTAGATAGCCCTCGTGTAGCTTTGCACCAAATTCAAAACAAACAAGTTAAAAATGTAATATTTTATAGACTAATTGATATTTTCTCACTATTCTACAAAAAACTGACTTAATTATATTGTTATTGATACCAAACTCAGCTGGCTTTGTAGACTATACAGTTATTTTCTTGCACTTCAACAGTTGGAACAAATAAGTGAACATGAGCTGACAGAATTTATGTCCTTTAGTTAGTTTTTATGGAAATATCTATTATAGGCAGATACCCAGTTTTGAGTGTAGGTGTTGATATTGCCTACTGTTTGTCTGTATGTTCTCACTTAAATACATGCATTCATGTTGATGAGTAATTTGTAGAATATTCTCATGGTTGTATCTACCTAGCTCACTGCATTTTAGGATTCTTTTGTAGCCTGTCATGGAGAAGGTAAAGATATTGATAACTAATCTAAACTTCTGGTGTTGGAATAAAAAAAAACGTGTACATTTTATATTTTTAATGATGGACATGAAAGAAGCTGAATTAAATAATATTTACCCACAAAACTAGATAAATAACAAGTTTTTTTTTTTTATTTATCTGGTGTTGACATGCCATTATGATAATTAAAAGTTATTTACTTCCAAGTGTGAATTTTTAAAAATATGAAACATGTAATTGAAAACTAACCACTTTTTTGAGTTTGGGGATTGAAGAAATAACAACGTGATCTCATGAAGCATTGTAAGTATCACATTTTTGTGAGCACTAGTTTATGATTATTACTAACACTAAATCCTGTTATTATGTTCATGTCAACCTTCTCAAATTTATGCTAATGCAACAAAATTATAGATAACTGCTAGAGCTCATTTTATTGACTGCATGTAAAGTTTGAGTCAATTTATAAACTTTGTTGCTTGCTGGATGAGATTATACATTCACAGGTCTTTTAATATCAAAGTGTAATGTTAATAAAATTAAGTTGCTACATGTAGATAATGGTATGCAAGTGATGTATTTCAAAACTTGTGAGCAGGTTTTAAGAGTTTGCCTAAACGTTTTTGAACTATAGAAAAATAAAATTGTACCAAGATATCTGATCATGTCTGCGTTTTCTCCCAATTACTTATGCAGTATAAACTTAAACATGAAGATATCAAACTGCAAACTGAATGTTTCATTTAGAAAAATGAGAGAACAAAATTAATAGTTAAGCTTGGAAAGTTGAGAACTTGCTTTGTAATTTCTTTAATACATGATAATGCATTGCAATAATTAAGAAGTACACACATTTTATCATACATAATTCCTAGATGCAGGATACATATTCTTAAATACTCCATTAAAGTGTGTTTTAGAATAAATGCTGAAGCATTAATCATAAAATGTAAAGGCGAGTCTACTGTAACAGTGTTTAAAGAGACTTATCTTTTATGCTGGATTTATAGTGACAAGTATACATTTGTGTAGTATTTTCAATAATTCTACAAAACTCTGTTTTCTTAATGTATTGGGCCTGGTGGTTAGGGCATTTGACTTTCAGTCTGCAGGTCATGAGTTTGAATCTCATCATCAAATATGTTTTCCTTTTTGGCTATGTGGGCACTAATAATGTGATGGTCAATCCTGCTATTTGTTGGTAAAGAGCAGCCCCAGAATTGGTGGTGGATAGTGTTGACTAGCTGCCTTTCCTCTAGTCTATCACTTCAAAATAGCCCTTTAGTAGCTTTTTTGCGAAATCAAAACAAACAAATAAACTTGGTGTATTTTAGTGTTTTTACGCATTGGTAAATGTTGTTATTCCCTCCACCACACCCCATGTAAGAGAATAATAATTATATTGTAGCTATTCAATGGCTGGACTTCAATAATTCTTAGAGGAAACCTTATATACATGTGTGGTAACATTAAAGAAATGGTGTAGTTGGTTGTTATTGGTTAATTTAATTTGAACTTTTACTGTAATAATTAGGAAGCTTTATAAAAGTTGAGTAGATTTCTCTTTCAGTTCTGTCTTAGATCTTGTGTTTTATACCCTTTTGTAGATACAGAAATATTTCTGGCACTGACGAATCTCATTCACACTATTAACTAGTTTTCCTTCTTATTGATAAGAGTTTCTTCTGACAAAAAACATTATATTATTCACATTTGTCAATTATAACCTTCAGTTTGATAACGTAAAATATCAGCAACAAATCTAAATTATTATCAAGCAGGTTTTTAATGCATATGTAATTTTTATTGTTATCTGTTACTTTATTAGATATGGGTGACAATAGTTTTTTTTTAAATATATATATATATGCTCCCTTTGTTGGTAATCTTCAAATTGGCTCAATGGTTTCTCTCAAGCAGAAGTATTGAGTTCAAATCCCAGTTTAGTGTAGATTCTCTATAACTTTTTTTTCACGATTAGAGCAAGGTATTACAATATTAGGAAAAACTACACTAACATGATTGTTTACATTAGGGATTTGAATTATTTGTTAACATTTGATTACAAAGACTGTTTGTCACAGTGGTCATAGCATTTAACTATTATGTGAAAGTCTTGAATTCAAATCCCTGTGGAGTCGGAATTTTGTATTAATATTTTTTTATTATTATATCTATTATCAGACCTACAACAAGCTCTTTGAATATTAGGTAAAATACATATACAATTATAGATTAAATCATAAATATGAAATTGGGAATTTATAAACCTGCAAATAACAATCATAAAAAAAAGTAAGAAAACAAGGCTGGAGATACTGTAGACATCATTTACTCAAACTACAAACCCCTATTTTGACTCCTTGCTGTTACCTATAATTAAATTTGGTGGAGTCAAAGTAGGAATTTATAGTTTGGGTAAATAATGTCTACAGTAACTCCAGCCTTGTTTGCTTATTTTTTATGATCCCTACTTGCAGGTTTTTAAATTCCTAATCCTTTATTTTTCTTGTTTGCTGGCTTTTTTATGCTCAACTATGAGCAAAGGATTACTTGATATGGTAACTAACTTTATACATTGTAATGATAATAAACTTATCTAGTAGTTAGGTGATAAGTTTCATGATGATTTACTGTAGCTATTGACTACTTGTTCACATTAGTTCGAGATGTAAGTTGTCATGGAGATTTGTTTGAGAATATAGTGAGATTTATAGTTTCTTTGTAATTAAATTCTCTATATATAATGCATAGTAATAGACAAATATATGCCTAGACTAAGACACAAGCATTTGCTAAATGCAAAATTTTACCAGTAGAAAAGCAGCCTTTTCAAATGAAACATATACATCCAAAACATCATTTTAAAGAAACCTTTGTGTTTTTTAAAGCAATTATTCTATAAATGTGTGTAATGAAATTTAATATTATGTGTATTGATTTTTTAATCCTTCATTTCATACATAATATAGGTGTTAGCTCCCTAAAGACACCACTTGTATAGTATACAAAGCATTGAACAAGTCATGT